TGCACTGCGGCCCCCACATTGCTCCTTCATGCTCAGCAGGGTGTGCCCCACGGTTTGAAAACCACTAGTTTAGAGGGCTTAATGGAATGTGTGTAATTGTTACAAACTTTCATAGTCAAAATATTTGGCAGAGACTCATTTTTCCATTATTATTTTTTTTTCTCCCTTGAAACAATTGCTGTTTTTCACTTACTTCATGGTCTGGGGTGAAAAAAAATCTTTCTGTCCTTACAATTGAAATGATAGCTATGATAAAATTGCATTTCTGTTCTAAAGGGATAATCCCACAATAGATTAATACATTTAAAAACTTTAAAATATCTTTCTTTCTCTTAGCTTAAAAAAAGAGGCTCTAGTGTATATTTTGCATTTTTTGGTTTTCATGCTCAGTCACAGAGGAATAGTGTTTGCATTGTGAAAATGAAACTATTAAAAAAAAAATTTGTATTTTCAATTCAAGTTGCCAACATTCCAGTTGACCAGGGGGAAGAGGGTGTGTATGTGCGTGCATGTGTGTGTGTTTCTTCTGGGCCAAGTTTGACCCAATTTTTCATTTATTGCATTATTTTTTGGTTCTCTAAATAGTGGACCTGGGTCCATATATTCATGGAAAACTAATTATTGTAAAGATGACTGTTGAGTGTAAGAACTTGCTGTCAATCTGGGAAGCACAGATCACACATGATACAAAAACAGCTCTGAGAAACCTTGTTGAATCCACATTAAAGCTTAAGAGAACCACCTCCAAACACTATATAAATAGCAAGTCCAAACCACAGAGACCATCCACACCCCTTCCCAGCATTCTGGGTGAGCGTGCCACCACATGCTCCTAACAAAAATATAACTCTGAAAGCGATGACAAATATGTAAACCAAGCAGAGTTTCAAGAATGCGTTGTTACTCGTTTGTAGACTTGAAACCTGCATCTCTTTGTGACTTAGAGGCCAGGATTTTCAAAAGAGCAAAGCTTCTACTATATATTATGCCCAGGATTTCAGACCTGAGTATGCTGGTTGCTGTATTCCTTGGCACTTCACTGCCACTTTATAATATTATTGGGGTCGTAGGTGAATATTATCTATGCAAAAGGGTTCTGACAAGATATGGTCATTGGGTGTTGAATATATAAATTATAGGCCTTTTTATATCTTTGCAGCAGACTAGATAAATGGGTAACTTGACGCATGGTGAAATTTCTGATCAGTTTGTTCGCAACTATGCCAGCTTCTATTTCTAGGAAAGGTCAAAGTAGATAGTTTTTGTAGTAACCTGTACTTGGATGTCAGTACAATGAAAAACAGATAGGCCTATTACAGTTGTTCAGAACTGATGCTGGCAGGTGGTAAAAATGGGCATGATAGAGTTCATTGAAGCCAAAATAAGCCTTGTTGCATGGACACACTTGCCACTGGGCATCTTCTGGTGGTGGTGGTCGTCATCCACAGTTCCTTTGTTCTGTGCAAGACTGAAGTCTGCCTCCTGGAAGCCCAAATCCAAGATATTGTGGAAATGTTACTGAGACTCATCTGTGAGCAGAGATGTAGTTAGCCAGGTTAGTCTTAAGTTGGGCAGAAGGTGGATAATTGAATATTAAGTCAGTCTATAAAGTGCCACTGTGCCCTGCCTCCTGTCTAACTTAAAACTAACCTGGCTAACTACCCCTCTCTACTCATGGATATCATCACGCTCGGCTGAATGAGATGGGTTGTAATCCACCTACACCAGAAATTCACTCAGATATGCTTGGATATCTTCTTTCTGATCAGATGCAAGCAAGTTAATATCATACCCAAGGGACTCCATTCTCTATACCATATTGCCTATTATGACAGGCTGTTCTTTATTCTCTCCAAGAAATTGAGGAACTGCATTATCAGTGTTGTATACAGCAAACAGGAACAGGTCAACAGCAAGCTTACAGAACTAACAAACAGCCTTGAGAACTACCCAGACATAGTAGCTGTTTACCAGACCAGAAACCCATCACAAGCACCTTCACTCATTTAGTTAGTCTATAAGGTGCATCTCTACCCTGCCGTCTGAGACTCATTTTGTCCTTTGACTACTACCCTATGCTGCCAGCCCATGTTGGCACTAGTGATGCTGCCAGGTGTAGTCCTGAGTAGATCAAGAACGATGACTATGGGGCCACAGGCATCAAGTTGAAGGACAGAGATTCAAGTTATTTATCTAGCTCTCCAGACAAGGATAGAGGCCCTGGCACAGATAGATGCATCCTAGAGATCAAAATGTGGTCTTGCAAATGGTGCTGTCTGCAGGGCTTTGGCTTTGACCACTGGTGGGTCATCTTCCCAGACAAAGGCCAACTGGGCAAAGAAAGGGTTTGTCTTTGCACATAGACTCACTGCCCTTGTAAGGAGATCTTTCAGTTGAGCCCAAAAGGGAATGGAGACAATAGCTCCACCGGACCAATAAGAAGGAGGACGACCTACACAAAGGCCTAGGAAGAATAGGCAATATGGTGTGTCTTAACAATATCATGAGAGTAATTAGTGGGGCAGTCAGCCAGTTATCCTGGATGTTGTGGAAGTTCTAGTAGACCTACAACATGATCTAACTAGGAAAAGTATAACTGGGTGGAATAGTTCATGCAACTGGAATATTGATGTGGAGGGTATAGTCTGTTCAGGAAGGACAGGCAGGGAAAAATGAGATCTTGACATGTATATTAAAGATAAATACACTTATTCTGAGATACGGAATAGTATGGGAGATGAACATAAGACCCTTTTGTGTTAGGGAAAAGGGGAAAATATCAGAGGTGATGTTATGATGGATGTTTGATGTCTATTATAGATCACCAAACAGGAAAGAATCACGCTTTTTAACAACTACTGAAACATCCAAAGTGCAGGCCCTTGGGAGCTTTAGTTACCCTGATATCTGCTGAGAAAGGGAACAAAATCAAGAAGGCTAAGGCACAAATTGAAATGCAGGTAGCAATGGGGTATAAAAGACAACAAAACAATAGTGTTAGAAACTAGAAAGGGACCTATATTTTCACTGTGTTTTCAACTGAACAATATGGGGGGGAAGATAGACTATGCAGAGATGGCTGAAATGTTAAATGCCTTTTGCTTCAGCCTTCACAGAAAGGACAACTGTCACATGAAAAGTACAGTTAGCAGCAAAGATGAGGAAGAGGCAGATACTCACCTAGAGAAGAGAAGGAACAGATTTGGAAATTATTTGCTCACAAATCACTACCAACCCACTTCCCCCAGGCTGCAGCCCCCCAGTGTGTGGGACATGGGGAGAGAGGGGGGTGCACCAAGTAGTCCCTCGCTTATGTGTTGCTGCTTGCCAGACTTCCAAAGCTCTTACTACTCGCTATGGTTTGCATGCCCAGGGAATGCCATCTCAGCAAATCTGATTTGTCTAATTTCATCTCTGACTATACCCTGGCAATCTCCAGAAAAATGCAGTGTGAAATAGTCACCATTTACTAGTTGCAGACATATTCAGAATAGGATGAGGTGAATATCTGGACTACCCTACAAGGGACATGGTCTTTGGGGAACATTAAAACTACATATGACTATGCTGGAACCCCAGGCCACCATACAGGTGTCTGTCACAACCCTCCTGGTTCTGTGATGCTTGGTATTACAGTAGTGAGCTGGTGGCAGGTCTAAAACTGAATAAAGGCATTACTCCATGTTGCCCCTCTAACTACTAAACCTGTAGGAGGGAGAAGTTCTAAATTTCGTTAATCTTCACAAGTATGAGCTGCCAAAGGACATCCCTATTCTTCATTTGGATAGTCAAATTGGTAGTCAGGGGTATAAAAGCTCCCTTCTTACTAGTATGCAATACATATAGTTAGGTATGTCCATAAAGTTAAAACTAGGCAAAACTGGAATAACTAACACTGCTCACCAGCAGTTCTAAAAAAAACAAAACAAAAAAACCCTCTCAAAGTCTGATTGCAGTCAGTCTGCATGGGATTAGCATTATGTATGCAACACTTCACAAAGGATGTACTCCTGACTTTTTTTTAAAAAACTTTATCCAACAAGGCCCATATAGCCTGTGCTGTTTTATGATCAATAATTTGCAGGCTATCTTGTCTAGTACTAATTAGTAGTAGTCCAAGGAACCATTTTGTCTTTGAAGTCAGAGGAGTTTAATTAGAGCTGATGAAGAAATGATTTTTCTTCCTATGAATTACTTTGATTTTTCTCATTTTAATTGGAAAAAAAAAATCTCATGAACATTTTTTCTCATATTCAGCAATGGACACATGTGAAAAACTTGTCAAAGCTATTTTGTAATGTTTGGCCAGTTCTTAATTCTGCTGTATGACATGCTTAGGAACAGGAGAGCTGCGGGGGGGACATCAGGTGTAAACTTGTGTACCAACTCACAAAGCTCCCACCGGTGGCATGATTTCAGTCCTTCTCTGTGTGATATTTTGTGTTTTTGGTGGTGTCTACCAACTCGACAAGTGTTGACTAGATTCTGGTTCCTTTATCAAAATTAGGACTACGGGAGTAGCCTTTTCCAAGGCTTCTATTCATTCACTCTAGCTATTTTATACTTAAAACTTCTACTAATTTGTTGAGGAGAGTTCCTCTCAGGTCCTAGCCTTGATCCCCTGTGGCAGTATCTGACCAATGTGGCTCTAAGTTGTTACATAAACCTTGATTTCCTTGGCTACCCGGAGCCTTAATACAGGATGCTGAGCATATATATGTGCCTTACAGCCCACATTGAGGTAGCAATCATACAAAAGGAAACCAAGTACACCAATGAAGGTTTGGCATCTTTGACTTCTACAACTCTGCTGGAAAGCAAGTTAATGTCTCAAGTAGGATCTTTCTGACATATGAGTTTGAATGCAGGGATTTCTATCACCATAGGTACATCAGCATCTTTTCTTCCAGTGGCTTTAAATATTTAGATTCTGCTCCAACTGGCTGATGCTCCTTTCTAGTTCTTTCATAACAAGTTTGACTGTTTCTTTACTTTTGCAGAAGATAATGCAGAGATTACGCTTGATGTGTCCTTGGCGTATCGTGATGACATGTCTAGTGAATGGAAAGAAATGGCACATGCGATAGAGACACGAAAACTAAAATGCGCCTTTCATTCTCCAAAAGTAAGTTCTGGTGGTCCCTGCAAGGTTTTTTGTTTGAACTATCCAGCCGCACCCTCAAAACGGCAATCAGATTTCTCACAGTCTGTCTAATTTCTAACCCAGCTGTAGGAGCTCAGCATAACTGAATATTTTGCACCCAAAGCTGCATGTTGCTGCTCTGAAAATGTGGCCTTTATCTTTTTCATGCTTCTGTAAATAGTCAGGGGTGGGAGAGAACCCAACCTCTGTCACATGCATGGTAACTCATCAGTGACTATGGCACTCGGAAATGCTTGAAAGGGGGTTACAGAAGTTTAAGTAAACAAATTATTTTAGTAACATATTCAAGCTACTTAAGTTTAGGAGTGGGGAGCAGAAATTGGTATAAAAAGCATAGAAAGGAACATCTAATTTGAGCCACTGCCCTTATTTTAGTGACACTTACTGTAACAACAGTAACTTTTTTTTAATGACAGTTAGTTCTTTATAGCTCCACTTAAGTCTCACTTATTTACAATATTCCTGTTAATGATTGATGTGGTTTTAAACCGGAGGAATGCATAATTTTGAGGGTGATTTATAATTCTGAATCAATTAAGAAGGATCATTTCTAGCTATTGTATGTTTTTAGTCTGTGCCTTGCTATCTTGTTTCAAAGTCAACTTTAGTATTATAGTTGAATACAAAGTAACACCCTCACTTTCTGTTGCCTGTTGTGTATGCAGTAAATAAGTATGAGGTGCAGAAGGGAATGCTGCCAATAAATGGGACATTAAAAGCTCCAAACAAAGGCATGTATCTGAGGGGCTTTTTCATTTGTTTTGATTTTAAATAGATCTATCTTAAGGCAGAGGTTTTCAACCTTCTTTGGTCAAGGTACCCCCAGCAGCTGGTCGAAGCGGGGAGTCCCCCAGCAGCCGGTCAATGAGCGCGCGGGGTGGGGTGTCCCTTGGTGGCTGCTTGATGAGCAGGATGATCCCCCCACATGCTGCGCAACTGCAAAACCTGAAGTGCCAGCGGCTTCTCCACGTCGCTGCCGCGTACCCCTTGGAGCCTTCCAAAATACCGCTAGGGGTACATGTACCCCTGGTTGAAAACCCCTGCTCTAAGGGGTGGAAATTAAGGATCCCAAGCCATCAGTTGAACAGAGACAACAATTTTAAATATAAAAAGGTGGTGCAGATTTACCTTAAAAATGGATTTAATCATCTGGGAGGGTAAAGAAAAACAAAATTGTTAATAAAGTTTGTGTGAAATGAGAGATGTGCCACTACTCTACTTATTGTGAGTTGGACTAGGTTGTTGAAGGGGGTACCTGAAGTTCAGTAGAGGTAGTAGCAAAGAAAGGAAGAGAACGAAATAACTGTACTATTTTCTAATCTTAATATTTGGAAGATAATTGACTGCAGTCCTTGTGCCTGCTCTTGGAGTCTGAGATGTCCAATTTCACTTTGAGTAGCTTGTATTAGTGAAATGAGATTTGCCCAGAGACTAGGTGTAGAGGAGGAAGAGGGGGACAAAAGCCTTCAGAGGCCCTGCAAAGGAAAAACAAGGGTGAAGAAGTTCTTTTTGGAATTAAGCATTGATGAAGCTGTAGGAGAAAAGAATCTGGAAAGGACTGAGTTATGAAAATCATGATGGGATAACATTTGAAAAGGAGTCTGGCTGACTATATTGAAGGATTAGGAAGGGAAAGGTGGAGAAAATGGCTTCAAGTTGAGCTAGGAAGAGATTGAAGGCTTTGAGATTTCAGGGAGGGAAGTGTTAGAAGCCAGTTTGGAAGTAGCCTAAAAAGGAACTGGAGTAGAGGACTTTGCTGTCTACTATTCCTGTGTGTGGTAGATGAAGTTAGAGAGGGGTCAAATATGGATTTGATTTGATTTTAAGATGGGCTAGACTAAAGCATGTTTGTATTGTGAGGAGAGGGAGAGAGCTGAAGGAGGTTACTGGTGAGTGGTGTGCATGTGTGGATATTTCTGGGCTCTATTTAGCTCCTGTTTTTAAATTGTTCTCTTGCATCTATAAGGAGAAGTAATGTGAAGTTAAGGTAACCAGTTTAGTCAAGCAAGTGCTAGTTAATAGCAGTAGATCTGTTCATAGATTTGTTGCTGGTCATTTGACATAATGATAAATTGATCATAGATCTGTTAACCATCTCTTCTTAACATCTGATATTTGGCTGTTGGATGCTGTGCAAGTTTTATTGCGTTGTTTTTGGTTTGTTTGTTTTTAATCTCTTAAGTGCTTAATGGCATCAATATCGATTACAGATTTTAAGTCTAGGGATCAAAGCAATTTGTCTTAATAGCTGTGTTTGCTGTCTGTATTTATTTTGCAAGGCTGGCTGATTTTGTTTCGAATGACTTGCATTTATGTCTGAAGTGTATTTTATATGACTTATGCTGTAAAACACTGGCACAGTGAAATAACTTTTAAAAATGAATGTCTAAATATATTTGATTGGATAATTCTGACTTGCTCCATGAAGCAGCCTAAATAATTTAATGGTGCCTATATTACTAATTAATGGGCAGTGATTTGGCACCAAGAAGACTGGAGAGAGCTGGAGTTGCTCAACTGGATTTGTCTTTTTGAAAACTCATCAAGTGCCAGACCAAGAAGATCTTTATGGTGGTGAAATAAAGATCTAAATTGCCATATGCAACATGGCAGTGACCATAAAGTTCTAGATGGCAATTAATTAAAATTATGACAATATTAAAAGCTCTGATTCAATTGCTGGAGAAGCAAATGATGTCCATTTGCTAAGAAACAAGTCTCATGCTCTTATCACCTCTAAAATTTAAAATTCACTAAAATGGTTGAACAACACCTTGTAGACTTAACAAAATGGCTAGTAGATATTAAGATGGCCAATACTGACTTTCTAGCCTTTGAGTAACGGTCAAGATGAAGCATATACCTTATTTGTCTAAGTTTAGATCCCTCAATTTAACTCACCAAAGTTTTTTAAAATGACCACAAAATCCCAGCAAATGAACAAAGCTGACCCCGGTGTTTTCATTGTGCCGTTTCATTAAGACGCCAGAATCTGAAGGCCGTTACTACGACTGTGATTTGCTCCCTTTCATGGAGATTGGAAGTGTGGCTCACAAATTCTACCTCATCAATATTCGACTCCCTGTGAATGAAAGGAAAAAAATTAATTTAGGAATTGGAGAAATAAAGGATATTCGTTTGGTGGTAAGTCTGCATATGTCTCCTTTCTAGATCTGCTTTGATATTCTTCTCTTCCTTTAAACTGTTGCTGTGTTTGCCATACTCTTTACAGTGATGTATGCTTGAAGGTATGTGTTTGAATCTAGCTATTGGCCTCGTTGGCCTAATTGTTTTGCTCTGGTATAAGTAGCTTGTGAGTGTATCAGTCTTTTCCCCATTTCCTTTAGGTCTATTCAAAACCACAACAAACCTTCTATTTCCCAGTAAATGCATGACGGTTTATTTTCTAAGTCCATAAACTTGTATAACACCCCTGATTTACCCTGAAACAGCCCCCACCCTGCTTTTTTTTTTTTTTTTCAATAGATCTTTTTCTTTGGTTACTCGTTAGTAATAATCCTTCCTCGCCCCTTTTGATTAACAGACTCTCCCCACTGCTGTTTCATGTTCAGCTGTTGACCACCAGAAACAAGCAATTCTATTCTGCTCAACTTGCTCACCTTTTTTAGCTTCCTGAAGTCTTCCTTTAGTTTCAGGTTGAATTCTGCTGGAGAATATGCCTCCCTACACAAAGGAAAAAGAGAAATAATGAGGGAGAATAGGAGACTAGGAATAAGACTTAAAGGGGAAAAATATTAACTCATGTCACCTTTCTTTAATGGATAATCCTACCAGTGATAAATCCTTTTGTGTGTGCCTTGATGCAGTATTAAATGATCGTAGATACATAGAGGAGTAGGGCTGGAAGGGGCCTCCAGAGATCATTTAGTCCTGCCCCCTGCCAGTGGCAGGATCATACCTATTCAAATCATCCCGTACAAACAAACTGTTATCTAAACTCTACATAAGACTATTGTCAACCCTAACACAACACAGACCTAACACCCTAACCTGTCGCAAGTAAAGCAGGGGAATCATGACGGCCAATGTCCTGCTTCTATGAAACGTTGTCAATATATGTTCAAGACACCCCAGGCAGAGGGCCCTCTTCCGTTACAGAGGAAGGCAAATCCCCTACAGTCTGTACCTATCTGACCATGGGGTAAAATTCCTGATGATGTATGGAAAGGTGTTGAGTACCGTACTGCCAAGATTTTAATGCTCTAGAGCAGGGGTCTTCAACGTTTTTTAACAAGTGTACCTCTTCTTTCTCAAAGTTCCAGTTCATGTACCCCTGTATATTTTTTCTTGTTTTTAAGGGGAGGTAGGAGGGCAGATCGAGGCCCCCGCGATGAGGGAGGGAATGGGGTTGGGACTGGCCAGCCCAGGCAGAGCACGGGACAGAGCTGCGAGCGGCTCGTCTGGGGAGCACGGGAAGGGGGTACAGCTCACACCGGAGCATACAGCCGGGGAAGTGTGTCCCTAGATCTGTGCACGGGGTGAGGGTGGGCTGGCCCAGCTGTGGGAGACGCCTCGCATCCCATGGACGAGCTGCTCATGACTCTGTCCCATGTTCTGCCCCGGCTGTGCAGTGCCTGCCCCAGCCTCACTCTCTCCCTCACCGCGGGGCCTCAATTGAGGCTGCTAGCAGGTCATCTAGGGGGCGCAGGGAGAGGAGGGGCAGTTCCCACCACTGCATACACCCTGGGATGGCAGAGTGGAGCAGGGTGGGGATGGGACGTGTGACCCTGGATCTGCACGCGGGGCAAGCTGGGGCCAGCACCAGGTTCCTCCCGGTGGGGGCTTAGCTGGGCTGGCCTGTGCTTGGAGTGGGCAGTGGTGGCACTGGACAGGGCTGTGGTGGGGAGGGCGGCGAATTCTGGAGTGGTTGCATGCCCTCTCATAGCCCCTGCTCCCAGCACCACTGCCGCCTGCCCCAAGCATAGCACACACAGCCCAGCCCCCACCAGGAAGAGCCTGGTGCAGCCCTGGCCCCAGCCTGCCTGCACCCTGCATGCAGATCAGGGGGCACATGCCCCCCATGTCCTCCCGAGTGCATATAGCTGTGGAAGCCGCCCCCCTGGCCAGCTCAGTCCAATGCTCCGTCCCAGCTGGGAAGCCCCAGCTCCACTCCCTCCCCCACCACTGGGATCTCGATCTGCCCTCCCACCCCCCCAGTGCCTCTTCCCTCACAACACACTTAGCAGCCAGACCTGGCTGCTCTCCTGGCCACCTGTATGCTACACTGCAGCTGCACACATGCACACGGTATTTATTGGCCACATTAGGTCTGCGTATCCACTAGGACCTTTTTAAGTACCCCTGGGGTATACGTACCCCTGGTTGATGACCACTGTTCTAGAGCTAATTGCTCAGACTTATTGTGCTGTCTGGAGACTGGATAGTTCTGAAGAGCTAATCAATGTGCCTGTTAGCTCTCTTGGTTGTTACCGCAGTTAGCTTAATTTTATGTTCCTATCCTTTCCCACTTTGTATCTAATATTAAGCTGACCTATTTCCAGATAAAGCTTTAATAAATTAATCTTGATGTCAAATGAGTGGCAATTTTATACTGATCTAAATTATGTATACCTAGAATATGTCCATAAAACACCCTGCTAGATGAGTCTGGTTTAATCCCCCCCCATTGCTACAGCATTGCTTAGACTAATTAGCAGGACACTAAACAAATAGCTGTTAACACTTCTCCCTCCCTTCTCCCACTTTGATAAGCAGATCAGAAATGTATTTTACAAGCAATACTTGCTGTAAAATGCTAAAAGCTATAATCTGGAGCATTATAACTTCCCTGTGGGATAATGCAAAACTGATCCTGATTGCAAGGAAAGGGTTTAAATACCTTGGACCTTTTACATTTGAATTTGTTTTTCCTTTTTTAGGGTATCCATCAAAATGGAGGTTTCACAAAGGTGTGGTTTGCCATGAAAACCTTCCTCACGCCCAGCATCTTAATTATCATGATCTGGTATTGGAGGCGGATCAAAATGATGACGCGTGCTCCTGTCTTGCTGGAAAAGTGAGTAGAGGAAAATCTTTAATCCACAGAGTTGAGCTCAGATAGAGTTGCTTATGCAAAACTTGAGTCAACTGGCTGTAAGCTAAATGCTGCTTTTGAAGATGAATACTTATAGTTACCACTTACTAGTGTCACCATGAGCACAGGGAAATGGTACTGGGCTAAAGGTGGCAAACTCCTTCCCCTCTCCATGAATTCCAAATGCTGCCTGTCCTCACCATCAGCTTCACTTTCTTCATCAAGTTTCTGAGCTTCACTGGCTTAATCTTTATCCTTTCTTGAAATTGAAATGGACTTTGTTTTGTTTCTCTTTCTCCAGGGTTATATTTGCTCTTGGGATCTCCATGACATTCATAAACATCCCAGTAGAATGGTTTTCCATTGGATTTGACTGGACTTGGATGTTGCTCTTTGCAGATATTCGACAAGGAATCTTCTATGCCATGCTTCTGTCATTTTGGATCATCTTTTGTGGAGAGCATATGATGGTAGGTGTGGCAGAGTAATTTCCTGTCCTTCAGAAATCTTTTAGTTCTTTGTAGTGCATAGGAAGGGATGTCAAGGAGTACTAAATGGGCTTTCAGATTGGTTTAGAAGATGTATAAAACACTGCTACATTTTTAGCTAGAAATAATCAGTATGTTGTGGGATCTGAGTAAGTTATCATATATAGTGCAGGTTTCTTGGTGGATAATTGCACAATAGCAGCTGAATTAGGTACATGTTTTTCACTGTGAATTGGTTGGTCTTTGAATCAGAAGATTTGGGGTTAGAAGGGGCCTCATGAGGTCATCTAGTCCAACCCCTTGCTTAAAGCAGGACTATCCCTAACTAGATCATCCCACTCAAGGCTTTGTCTAGCCAGGTCTTAACCTCCAAGTATGGAGATTCCACCACCTCTCCGGGTAACCCATTCCAGTGTTTTACTACCCTTCTAATGAGAACATTCTTCCTAATATCTAACCTCAACTTCTGTTGGTCCAACTTGAGACCATTGCTCCTTGTTCTGTCATCTGCCACCACTGAGAACACTCTAGCTGAGGGGTTCCCAAAGTTTTTATGCCGTGGCCTGGCAAATCGCAGCCCAGCAGTCACAGCCAACCATGGCCAGAATTTCCAGCCGGCAGACAAGTAAGGGTGCCCTCACCCCCTGGGAGGTGGTGTGGGCCAAACCCTGTAGAAGGAGTTACAGCCTCTCCGCCTGACTCTAGGGAGCTGTGGTTTGCCTGTCCACAGCCACTTCCGGTCTGGCAGCCAACCCGCTGTGGCCGAGCTCCGGGCCACGGCCCAGGGATTGAGAACCCCTGCTCTAGCTCCATCCTCTACGGGACCACCCTTCAGGTAGTTTTCATAGATTCATAGATGTTAGGGCTGGAAGGGACTTCGGAAGATCTTCAAGTCCAGCCCCCTGCCCCAGGGGCAGGAAGTCAGTAGGGGTCATAGGATCCCAGCAAGATAAACATCCAAATTTCTCTTGAAGGTGTTCAAAGTAGGTGTTTGAACCACCTCCAGCAGCAGTCTATTCCAAACCCTGGGAGCTCGGACAGTAAAGAAGTGCTTCCTTATGTCTAGCCTGAAACAGTCATGGAGGAGTTTGTGACCGTTCAGCATTGTCATCCCCTAGTTGAAGGTTGCTATTAAAGTGCCCCTTACTCAGTCTTCTATTCTCCAAACTAAATAAATCTAGTTATCTCAGCCTCTCCTCAGAAGTCATGTGCCCCAGCCCCCTAGCCATTTTTGTTGCCCTCTGCTGGACTCCCTCTAATTTGTCCACATCCTTTCTGGTGTGCGGGGGGCCAAAAATGGACACGGTATTCCAGATGTGGCCTCAATGGTGCTGAATAGAGGGGGTCTAATCACTTCCCTTGATCTGCTGGCAAAGCTCCTACTAATGCAGCCTAGTACGCTGTTTGCCTTCTTAGCAACAAGGGCACACTTGGTTCATATTGAGCTTATTGTCCACTGTCAATACGCCCCCAAGTCCTTTTCTGCAGAGCTGCTGCTTAGCCAGTCAATCCTCGGCCTGTACCAGTGCAACGTGGCATTGCACAACTGTGGTATTGCACATCAATGCACAATTAAGGAATAGGTGCAACAGCATATGTTTAAGTAGAACTCCTTGTTCACTTTCCACTGAGGAAGATACTGTTTAATTTCTGTGAGTGGGAATAAACTCAGGGCCTAAAAGGGGAGATATTATTTGCCAGTGATTGCTCTTCAGGAGTTGCCTTTGCAACTTTTACATTATCTGCTACTTTCCCTTCCACCTCAGATCTCACTAACCTTAGAAATATGGGTTAAGGAGAAGGACTCGAGGCAGTTCAGGCAGGAAAGGCACTTCTGTACCTAGATGAGGGCAGTGAGGCTTTCCTTGTATGAGTGCACTTGAGCATCTCCCAGTGGATATGGCAGTACAGGAGACCCTCGCCATTCGTGGGGGATACATTCTCGAGATCCCCATGAATGGTGAAATCCGTGAATAAGGCACTGCGTTCATGAATGCCATCTGCGTTCATAAACGCAGTGCCCCTGGCAGCCGGGGCGGAGGGGTGCATGGTTGTGCTGGTGGCGGAGGGAGTCCAGTGGCAGCAAGTGTGGAGCTCCCGAGGAGCTCCTGTAGTGTATTTAAGATGCAGGTTCGGCATTCGCAAATATTTGAAACGGTGAATGTCAAACCCGTGAATAGCAAGGGTTTCCTGTACTTCAGCTTGACACCAAAGGGCACTGAATCACAAGAGGGATTATAGAGAGATGACTTTCAAAACAGCTTTTGGTAAGGAACCTCTTCTTGCTTTGGTATTCTCTGCTGCAGTCTTAGTGATGCAGCAGTCAGATAGTATCCATCTTTCATAAATTAACCTTTCTCCATTTTTGTTTGAGTAGGATCAAAATGAGCGGAATCGTCTCTCTGGGTACTGGAAACAGGTTGGACCCATAGCTGTTGGTTCCTTCTGCCTTTTCATCTTTGACATGTGTGAGAGGTAATGAAGATGCTTTCTTTCTTTTGTGCTGATGAGGTTGCACTCTGAAGTGCTGTGCTATGCTGTGCTTAAAGTAAAAAGTACATAGGCCACGAACAGGTGTTACATTTGTGTCAAAAGAAAAATCTTACTCCCAGCACAGAAAGAGAGCATGCAGCCATTCAGGGGATTTTTGAGGGAAAAAATACTGGCTTTTCCACAAGGAAGTCAAATCCGATACCTGCCTGGAAGATCTCCCTCCTCTCAGTCTAACTTGAGCAGTTGTACATTTCTTTTAAGTGCTCAGGATACCCAATATCGCTCCTCCTATCATTGGCAGGAGTAGGGAATGTTCTTCTGTGGTGCAAACCCTCCCAAACCTCCGGGAGGGTTGCTGCTAAGATGAAATGCCACCCCCCAGTCTTTCTGCCACAAGAGATCATCACCCTCCCCACCCCAAACTGCTAATTAGCTGATTTGCAGGAGGTGTGGGGTGCTCTTCCAGGGCTGTATGTAGTAGCTACAACTTTTCAGCAGCTGCCAGTAGTTGACAACCCATCTCTTTCCCGGCAGGCTGTCGATCAGTGGGCTCCAATAAGGGCAGGGGTGGCTCAGAGAGCAGCCCTGTTGTGGCCCCTGGGCTGGAGACCTACATACTCTGCTTCCAGGCTATTTTTTGCCAGGAAGAATTTTAATTTCAGAGAAAGTCTTCAAGCTGGACATGAATTCCTGTCTGAGGCCTTAGACACAGGTGACCTCTACCCTGGAGTCACTTTTTAAATAGCTTTGAGGTCATAAGGACTATAATAGAATTTAACATTTCAGTATCACGTGCCTTTCCTGATGCCCATATATAAACTCTGCCTCCACCATCCTCTTTTCTGTGTCAGAAGGGAGTGGCTTTGCTGGACAGTTAAGTCATTACAGGCAACCCCTGCTTAGCGCTCTTAATTGGTTCCTGAAAAAACGAGCATCAAGTGAAATGAGCGTTAAGCAAAACCGAAAGTTTTTGATGACCCAAGATGGAGACCATGAGTATTATAACAAAACTCACTGAGCGCTAGGTGGAATCAGATATCAATTTAAAATGAGTGTTATATCGAAATAGCATCAAGTGGGGGTTGCCTATATTTCACTTTTAACCCAATTTTCTCTAAGCACAAAATTCAGTTTCTGAGATGAACCCAGTTTAACTCCCCACTTTCAACTCAGAATGCATTACTTCACACTTGACTTCATGAGAAAATGACTGAAATTGAGGGTAAAAGATAAGATAAAGGGTGTGTTTGCCTGCCTAGCAGCATAGGTGTAAGTTAATAAAGTATAGTAATGTTATGACAGGACAGCAAAATCTCTAGACTCACAGTTCAAAGGGTGTACATTCAGAAAGCTTCCTCGGAAATCATCCTAAGATGAAAAGGCCCTGGAAATAGTCCTTCTCTTTCTTTTGATGAAGCTTTTATCCAGTTTACCCATTGTGAGCTACTAGGCTTGAGAAACAATGCCACCCCTTTCTTTCTGTTGCAGTATTGCTTGCTTATGTTACCTTATACTAGAATGTCACCTTCTCTTTCTGCCTTATGTGGATAGGGTGGACATATAATATTCATCCCCACTTCCAGCAAGTAGGTTTCCAAATTACCATGGATCTTAAGTAAACATGATGTGAAAGGGAGCTTTAGGTACCATGCATTACATAGCAGTTAAAAGTTATTTGAACAAACTAGACACAGTCCATCCCACAATGCGGCAGCTGCTCAGACTTTTTGGTTGACCTTGTTAAGAGTTAACTGAGACAGACTTCATTGATATTGAGGTATTAGAACAGCTTTTGTGTGTCCACTAAAAAGCAAAGTAAACTGTAAAGTTTTCCTGATCTCTTCCATATACACACACCCACATCACAGAACATCACAAGCTTCCAAACTACAAAGTAAAATCCGTAAAACTGCATATTTTATTGCATGTGTTGGCTTTTGGATGTTACCTTTGATTGCTTTTAAATTCTCTTGTTTCTAGAGGGGTACAGCTGAAAAATCCATTCTACAGTATCTGGACAACAGATGTTGGCACGGAGCTGGCTGTATCCTTCCATCTGTTTCTGAGGAGTATCGCTCACTTAAGACTGGAAAAGACATTTTAATAACTAAAATTAAAAAAAAATGATTTTCCCATGTAGTCTCTGAACTGCTGAAAAGCCAGTTCAGTTTGAAACACCTGAAAAGCAGTAAATTGGTTCTAAATTACTTTAATGTTAGTGGAGGATCTGAATATTCTTTGGATCAGCAGTTCTGTGGCTTTCTAGGAGGATGCTTATTAGTACAGCAGGAAGATTTCAGGGCAAAGATGAATTCAAAGATTGGTTTCAAGAGAAGGGAAATAATTAAACGACTGATTCTCAACCTTTTTAGACTTGAGGCACCCCTCCACACCTTTTCAACATTTTTCATTGGAAAAAAAAAAGAAGTGAATGTTATGAATGTTATGAACGTTATACTGTAAACAGAATTGCATTGCTAATTATTAATTCATTACTGATTAAATCCTTCTAACCATATGCCACTGCCATGGTAGCCAGGTGGAACTGTGCTGTGCTGTGCTGTGCTGTGCACCTCCCACGGAGTCAGATTGGGAAGTGTCTGTAGCAGGAGTGTGTGCTCTTGCTGCAGTCCTTCCTGGTCTGACCCTATGTGGTGTCTCCCAGAAAGAAGGATGTGGGAGAGATGGTACTATCCCGAGCACCTCTCACTGTACACGGGACAGTTCTACCTGGTGGCCGTGGCATTTGTTTCCAGGATTCATTTGGAGTCTAACTGAGGAGAAACCACAGCAGTGTTACATTATCCAGGCAGCTGCTCCCTGCTTCTTGGCACAAGCCAGGCCAGGAAGAGCAAAAGCAGAAGTGGTGTGCCTGCTTCATAATGTAATACTTCTGCTGCAGCTCCTTGGTTTGGCTCCACGTGCCTTTTGAAAACCAGGGCACATGGGACAATTCCACGCTGTAGGAGCACAAAGCCCCTGACAGGCTCTCACAGATCCCCTGTTGAGAACCACTGAATTAAATTAGTAGCCTGAGCTGCAAGGTATCAGGAATCTGGAAAACAGCACATCAGGCGTCGAGATATGGGTGTTATTACAGAGCAATCCTGAAGAAAATGCAGTTCTCTGCACCCTTTATGGTTTCCCCTCCTGCTCTGAAAACCCTTCTTGTCCTGGCAGGTTTTTCTCGGGAGCAAGTCGTTTCACTGCTGATTCTTGAGAACGTGTTCCTAAAGCATTTATAAGAATTGCTTTTTGAAATCACTTGGTCATGTTGGAAGTGCTTTCAACTGCCATTAATTTTTATTACCAGGCTGAGACAAGCTAATGTGATTAGTTCTGCTTCCCCTGCATCTCAGTCCTTGTGCAGAGTCCTTCCTAAGATGGCATTTTGTTTGGTGATTACTTCCCTGGATCTCAGTCAAGCCCCATGTCTTTGTAGCAGTGGAGCAGAAGTGACAATTCCAGCTTAGCCTTTTTAGCCTGCAGGAGTTTTAATATTTTATCCCTCATTAATATTATGTCAAGTGCTTGGGAACAACAGAGCATCATTCCTGGCACTGGGGACTGGGAAGCAAACACTGTCACTCAGGTGGAAGCTTTAATTTGAAATTTGTTTAATATGCTAGAAGCCTGAATTAGAATAATTGTGCTTGAAAAACATAGTGTGTTCTTCAATCTCCCACTCTGTCCAGGAACAGTTTCCTTTAACTTTACCACTCAGATGGCATTTATTATAGTTGCAGGAATCTGCCTTTGCCTCTACTTTCTGTTCTTGTGTTTCATGGTCTTTCAAGTATTCAGAAACATCAGTGGGAAACAGTCCAGTCTCCCAGCAATGAGCAAGGCTCGCAGGCTTCATTATGAGGTTAGAAACCACTATTTGGATAAATGGTGTGTATTATATTTGTGTTCAGTATGCTGATTTCTCATTTTTACTAATAATGTATCTGCAAAATAATGTATTGGCTTTTCTTTTCCCTTACATTTTTAAAGACTTTCTATTTTGCTAGTGGTCTCATGCTGTCAAAGCCATCCTAACTTTGTTGTTGTTGTTGTTCTTTTGTGAATTGGTATCCATTCCACCCTGATCTCTGTCTCCATCTCGCAGCTTGGATGCTAGATGGCTCTTGCAGATAGAGCAAAAATGTTCTGCCCAGGTTGGAGATGTCCTTGCCATAGTCAGAAAGATTCAAATAGGTGTACACACCAGGGGAAGAATGGAGCAGGTTCTTGCCTTGGTTCTGGGCAAGAAATATTACCTCTGCGAGGTGTTCTGTTCCAGAGAGAGCAGAGACCTTTCTGTTGAGGCTTAAAGCAGGTTAAACATGACCCATGAGCCACATGGCGCTGCTCTATCAGGCATGCCAAGCTGCTGGTGGGCTGTGGAATTTAGCGGCATGGCTAGTGCTGGGCATAGCCTGCCATAATGTGGATCCTGGGGCCCCAGTGGTTGTGCCGCTTGGTGGCAGGGGGCCAGCATAGCCCCAGTTGCCTTGCTGCTACTTGGCCCACTGCTGCTTGCACTGCCTTCACCTCAGCAGTGACCCCCTGGCCCGTGGCCATTTACCACACCATAGTTGCTACCTCTGCTGTCAGTCCTGCAGTCTGGACCCAGCCTGGGGCACAGCGCGAGTTTGACACTTCTGACCTGACACACAATGACCTTCCATCAACTCTGAAGGTGCATCTGGCAGCAGTCTGCTTTCCACCTGCCAGCTGAGGGACAGCAGGTGCTCATGTGACAGCCCTGAAGTTCCTTAGGGGCTTATCTTGGGTCTTCGCTCAGTTAAAGGACCGCGTCTAACTGAGACTTAAATCTGGTCTTCACATTCCTGACGAGAGAGCAATTTAAACCTATGGCAATGAGCTTTCTCCTGCTTTCTTTGAAAATGGCTTTCTTGGTTGTAAGTACATCAGCAAGGCCAATGGGAGAAATCCGAGCACTTGTGGTACAGCTGGATATCCCCCATTTATCCCTGCCCCTACACACACTACCTTTTATCCAGCAAAAGTATTTTGGAGGACTCATCCCAAGGTTGTTGTGAATTTATGCTAAGGGAAGCAGATTAACTTGCTGCTTAGCTCTCCTGAACCCTCATTCCTCACATGGAGAGACTGCTGTATTCTGTGAATGTGAAGAGAGCACAGACTATTATTCTCACAAAGGAAAGATATTCAAAAAGTGCCCTTGGCTGTCAGTATTAGTAACTCAGAGGTCCCTGGGTACACAGATAATGGCCCAAAGGTATCAATGTCCATATATTTGGGGTCTGCTGGGGTCACAACTGAAGTTCTTTAAAAAGTAAAAATATTAGTTGTATCAGTGCAAGATAGGAGTGGGGTAGGGTGGAGATTGGTTGTGGGTTTTCTGGTTTGGGGCTTTTTTTTTTTTTTTTTATTTCGGCCATTTTCAAAAATGTAGTTGCGTGGATTTTGTTCCTGTGACCAAGGCCACTTCTCTTTAAATAGGGGCTGATTTTTAGGTTTAAGTTTCTGATGCTCATCACTTTGGCTTGTGCAGCAATGACAGTCATCTTCTTCATTGTCAGTCAGGTGAGTGTACTTTCAGATTCCTAGTTTGCCTGGCAGTGTGGTTATCCTAATTTTGAGAGAACAGGCATGCATTTTAGGCAGGGCTGGCAGCCTCTTAAGGTTGCCCTGGCCTGCATTTCCCATTATGAGAACCTGTTTTTAATTGTTTACAACTTGGAGGCTAAACTTTTTCATGCCTGCCTGGGATGAATATTTTTGGATAACTTCAGCTAAAATGATTTGAGAAGAGGTACAGCTTTTGTCTGCACTTTAAAAACTAATGGTGGGGGGGCGGAGAAGGAGGAAAATAAGGTTACCTGGTAACTCTAGTTAGTGGGTTCCCCTTTCCCCACCCCACCCCATCGGACAATGTAAGATCATGTAACTAAAAACTAAGAATGCATATGGGATATAGAGTACAGGCAGCATTAACACGAACTTTTAAAAAAATGTCGTGTGCTTGACTTTTGTAGCCATAATGATTTGAACCTTGTTTGTGTTCATGCAATGTGCACGCATGCCTTTGCTCTCCAAGCTGGGTTATAACCAACGTGTGTATAATTTACATTATATAGATTAATCACTTTAAAAATAGTTATTGTGCCATGCCCATTACATAGCCTGACACACCAGTAAAACACTTTGGCTTCTTGGTTTCGTATGAGTATTCGTATGAGAGTATTCGTATGAGAATAACTCCACTTGCTCTGACTGATTCTTAGTCTTTCAAAATGACAGGTCCTGTGTTAAGATCGCTATCTGCCTTTACATAGGTAGCAAGCCCAAATGTATATGTGCACTGAAGACTTTGGTTACAATGGGTGCATTCTTGCAAACTCCAAATGAGTCCGGTTATTTTGATGCTTGTGAGCTGTTCTAATGAGTTGCATGTAGAGAAGTATCCTCCAACATACTGCACTGATTACATTACATGAAAAGTCCTGAAAGAGAACATAGCAGCATATGATTCTGGTCTAAAAACCTAGAGCAAGTGACTTGATTCCACCTTAGCTTCACCATCCAGCCCATACTTACCTTAATAGTTTTACTTCAGTGTGTATGGGCATTAAACAGTTTTGTCCAGTGACTGTTATCAAGTTTGGTATTTTTGCTTGTGTAACGACTTGTTCTACCTTGGCTTTCCTAGAAAGCAAAGCTCCCCCACTCTTTTTGAGGGGGGAGTTGTGCTTAAAAGTTGTTGCGACCCTTAAGCATCTTTGTTAGTTTCATTTTAAAAGCGGAGGGCAGCAATAAAAGGTGCACAGCTCCATGTGCTCAAAATACTGATTTTGGAATGACCTTTTTGAAAATTAAATAATTATTTTTAATGTTTCTTAACTCGTTGGAACCTCTCGTCTCTATCTGTGGGTGGATGTTATTAGGAATAGGTCCCCATCATATGATAGACAACACCTTAGCTCTCACATTGTCCGTGCTGTTTACATGTCCGTAAACCTTTATAGAAAGGATAAAGTTTCAGGCATGACTAGATGTCTGCCAGGTAGTACCCTGATAATTATCTTCTCCCTAAAAACATCAGTGACTAGTGATCTAGTGTTCTTAAGATAACTTCTGTCATTTCTTATGAAGCAAATTTCTATTAAATTTAGATTAATAGATGATATTGTAGTTGGGGGACAAGAGAGAGACCCATAGCATGGGCTTTACTTATATACTTACATGTATCCAATGTGTACTTCGTGTCTGTTTGTATTTTCTCTTCAAAGCCTTTTTGTTTGTCTCCTTGAAGCTTCCCCATAAGAGAATTCCCCTTACTTGTCCCTATTGAATTTTTGCTTTCTTATGGACAGGTGACGGAAGGCCACTGGAAATGGGGGGACCTCACAATACAAGCGAACAGTGCTTTCTTCACAGGCATCTATGGGATGTGGAACCTTTACGTCTTTGCTCTTATGTTCCTATATGCTCCATCACACAAGAATTATGGTGAAGATCAATCAAATGGTAAAACTGGACTGTCTGATTATTTTGAAACAGTTGCATGTAAAAAAAAAAAAAGGCAAAATGGCAGGAGAGAATATTAGGCATAAGCCTGGGTCAGACCTCTCACATGGTTTTCCCTGCAAAACATGAAGATTTGGTGGAAAACAATATGTAACAAGTACACACTGACTTTTTTTTTTTGGCCAGCATTTTAATTCTGTGGAGGGAAAATCAGAATTCTGACTTTCAGAGAGCGAACCTTCTGAGAACACTTTTCCCCATTTTTATTGCGTTTGAAATGACTTATTACAGAATTTCCTCTAAATTGTATTATACGTTAAGGTGATGATGAGAAATCAAATAAAACAGTTTGTCAAAACTAGTTATTTCAATTTGCTGATTTTTGAAAATCTTTTTTTCGGTTTGGGGGCATGTTCAGAAATCAGGACTTTTTTTGACCAGCTTTAGTGGTTTAGTGTTTGAGGGGGAGTTCTGCTTGAAAGGAGTAGAGAAATGAAGCGAGGAGAAAGGGAAATAAATGTTTTGAGACTTCTGTTTTTATTTTTGGTTTCACCTTTAATTATCCTTTAGTAGCAAAGTAATTCTCTGACTTTAGCTTTTCTTAACAGTAAACTGAGGCCATTGCAAGGGATTCTGTTTTTTAAATGGATTTGAATGCTAGGTTTTGTGGAGATCTTTTTAAGGATATGGACAAATATGCATGTAAATTGCTTGAAATTCAACCTTTATTTGAAACGTTTTTAATTCTGAGCACATCAGTAGTGTATAGATGTACACCCCTACTCCCTGCTGAAGTGTCTCACTGCTGGAGCTGGTGTCCTTGTGCTGCTCTGCTGCTTTGGAACTGGTGAGCAGAGCCCAGCAGCTCTTGACCGTGATCCTTTGGCTGTCTTTGAAAGTTTCCAGGAGAAATTGCAAAGCCTTCTGGACATTTGACCTTCAGACTCTTGGTTTGTGCTTCCTGCAGCTGCAGGGCTAGTCAGTTTTGCATCCTAGTGCAGGCGCAAAGCACGGATGGGTAGCTATCATCTCTTTAGCCCTTAGTCTTTGAGCAGCACAGTGAGGGTACTGGCTCCAGTCTTCAACACACAGCAAAGAGCCTGTGTCTACCTGGCTATTCTTTCTGTCTCAAGGGTGGGCAAATTATGGCCCACAGGCTGGATCCAGCCCACCAGGCCGTTCTATCCAGCCTGCGGGGCCCCTAAAAAATTTAGAAAATTAATATATATCTGCCCCTGGCTCCCAAATATGACAGGAGCCAGGGGCAGTAGGACCCTAGGGGAAGCCACGGCAGGACCCAGAAGCAGCAAGACCCACCCCCACACAATCACACACCCCACAAATACCATACCCATACCCCTCAACATCCCTGTACACAATATACAAGAGTAAGACTGCATTTTGAGCTATTCATAGATGAATATTATGAAATCACTTCTACATATACAGCACAAACACATACAAATCAAGACAAAAATATTTTTTAAAATTAAATTAAAATGTATTATTATGGATATTTGATTTTTTTAGTATATAATTTGGGGTTTTTTACTCTTCTAAGATGGCAATCCCTCTTCCCCAAAGGATGCCACTTCTGGTGGTAAAGGTCAGAGGTTAGGGGCAGGACTTCCAGTCCCAAGATGGCAAGACTGGGTGGTGGGGACGGGCTCCTGTCAAGGGGCAGGGCTACCCATGCAGCCCTCAATAGCTTGCCAAAACTCAGTAAGTGACCGTCTGCCCAAAATAATTGCCTGCTCCGTTCTATCCTCTTTGAATGGCTCTGCCAGCTGGTGTCGCAGCATGGCAGGGCAGGCCCAATGACCCAGGCACTGGAAAAATGCTTCCTCAAGCTGTTTTCTGGCCTGTATGAGTCTGAGAAAACTAGCCCCAGAAGGAGAACTAAAGAACACAGTGGGAGATAGCCTTTTCTAGGACCATTTGCAGACTGTCTACAACTTGCTTCTGAGTTGGAGAGTCAGTGACTGGTTGAAGTGGACCTGGGACGAGAAGCAGTAGAAACAGAACTTCAGGATGGATCAATGCTCTCTTCCTCAAGATCTGTTCCTGATCACTAGAGGAAAAGCACCATACTGAGAATACTTGTGAACAGGGAGCAGTAGGTGGTAATTGCCCTCTCGAAGCTAGAAACCCCTGACAGCTCCTAGTTGGTTTCCAGTCACTTCAGTGGGCAAACCCATGGCTCGTGTACCCATGGTGGGTGAACCACATCCTCCGGAAGGTAGTACTGTCTGGCTCTCCAACCTACAAGAAGTAACTGGATTTACCTAAATGGAGTTTCCAAACTGCCTCAGGACCATCAATATCATGCACATTGCTATCTTGTGTCAAGCATCATAGGGCTTGAACTATGTAAACAGCAAGGAGTCCTTCCTTCATGGGCAACTGGTGCCACCTGAATCGGGGGGGGGGCCAGTCAGTGACCAGGGCGGGGGGGTCCCCCTGTGGCTGACCGTGCTGGCTGGGAAGTGCTAGTGGCGCTCCCAGAAGTGTCAGTGGTGCTTCACCTGGTGCCCCCATTCCCGAGCCGGTGCTTTCAGGGGGAACACCTCTCCCGCCTGCCCCCTCTACCCGCCACCTAAGTGGGGAACACTGCCTGTTGGGCTGCACCAGCGCTCTCAAGGCGTGCACCATGCATCTCCTACGCATCGGCACTGAAGTACTTCTCTATTGCACTGCAGGGCATCACAAACCACTGGGTTCAGTCCATACATGTGATTACTGCTTTCACATATATGGACTGAACTAGGTAAGGCAAGGTCTGCAATGTCTGGGTCTTCAGGAACTCCAGCCTGGTCCCCTGATGAGATGGGGAAAGTTTGTCTGTGGCGCCAGTAGCATAGGGATATAGAAGATGCCTCACGCCCCTGTGATTTGTGGTTCTGATTGTACCTGCCTTTTCTATGGCTCATAAAATTTATGCCAGATGTCAGGCAGAAAATCTTAATTACAGTCAAGCAGGTGTGGACAACTGCAGAGCGTGCTTTTGGGGCATCTCAAGGCATGGTGGACGGTACACTGGACACCAGCAGGTTGTACCTGCGAGATGATCATTTTGGGAAGCTTGCTGTATAACCTCTGGAGGCCAGGACCTGAGGCTTCTTTAATAAAAATTAGATAGTCAAAGGCTCTGTGTTGAAACAAAGTGCTTTGCAATCAAGGGTACATTATGGTAGGAGCAATTTGTGAACTTTAAAAAGGGGGAAGGCACTTTGAAGATAAGGGAAGCCTAGGTTCACCACATCCCCCACAGATAAGGGATCAAAGGGACTGGAGTTCTTTATCATGCTGCTTTTTCCTGACCAGTAGTGGCAGAGACCCTGTAAGGTTGAGGGGTGGTGTCCCAGCTTGTACTTCCCCAAGGCTTCCTGGAAGGACAGGCCCCAGGGCTTCTAACCAAGTAGAGAAGGTTGGCATGAGGCTACAGTAGGGCTGGCCCAAGGCAGGGGTGGGCTGAGGATTTTTCTTGAAGAGGAAGAGCCAGAGCCTGCTGACAGTACGGGTGGGAGAAACTGTGTGTATCATGAAGATATCTTCAATGGGGTATGGAAGTCTTAGAGCATGAAGGGCTGTCCTTGGGCATGGAGGGATAAGCCTGAGCCCATGGAAGAAAGTATAGGAGCACTTGGATTCACTGTGTGCCAGTTGAGGGTGGCTATGAGGGACTGTTGTATTTTCCCTTTGATTTTTTTCCATTTGCATCTCCGTAGTCTGCTTCACCATGTCTGTATCCTCCCTGGTGTTCTCAACATTGTTGTGCCTGGGCTGGCGCATCCCTCTCCCGACCAGGTCAGCACAGCAGTCTTGGTGATACTCCACCTGAGCACGTTAGCCCTCTGCAGCCACTGCTGTCCCTTCTAATGCAACTAGGTCTGCAAACATCTTGCTCCTGTTTCTCAGCCAGGGTACTTGCTGAGCTCCAGTTTTAAGTTGTAACCTTGAACCTCAATAGCAGCAGCAGTAGCTGCTGGTGTTGATCCTGAAAAGAGAATAAACAGATCAGAGAGTTTGTAAAATGTGTCTTATTTGGTCCATTATGAACTCCCAACAAAGTTTTTGTATTCTAATGGCCAGCATGATCTCCCTGTGGAGGGGCGTCCTATAGCAAGTGATAGGAAGGACAGGCTTTAGAGACTGGGAGGGTCTAGCAGGCCAGTGATTGGCATAAAGGAAGATGGATCAGACTGAGGCTGAAGCAACTCCTTTAGGAGATGCTCTCTTTAGGCAGCTGGGCCCTAGGTGCTAAAAGATCAAGAAGTTAGATTGGTGAGAAATGGCAGAATGGTTAGCTTGTCTTTCCTGGGTATTGGTGTCATCTGAGCTGTCCAGTCCCGATGGCTTGTACATCTGCTCAGCAGTCCTGAATAAAAGGAGGTACTCATCAGGGCCTTACTGGGATTGCTTGTAGTCCAGGGCTTTGGCTGGTGCTTTCTCACAGTGGTTTTAGTCTGCACTGGATGACACTCAATCCATCCCAGAGTTTGCAATGAAGTAGGACTTGGTGAATTTGTGCCCAGCAAGGATCTAGAAAAACTGCTCATATATAGTATGTGCATGTCACCTGCCAGGGACCCAAAACATTTGGCTTCACGAGCTTTTCTTGTATCACGCCTTCAGGCCTTTCACCTGGGTCCAACACTGTCAGTCCTGGTTGTGCCTGCAAACTATCATCTCTGCCGCAGTCTGCTTGTAAATGGTTTTGATCCCTCTCTTTATGAGGGTCCACTGGATATTTTCTAGTGGAGTTTTTTGTAGACCCAGCATTCTCTTGTTAGTGGACACTTGGAAGTATTTGTGCCAAATGTCCAGGGCCGTGGTCCAAAAGAATGCTGGTATGGTGTGCCTTTGCACACTTACGCTCAGGTCACAAGCAGAGCCTGTGACCCCAAGACAGTTGAGTTGGGAGTGAATCTCAGAGGATGCATTGGAGAGGAAGGCAAGTCAGGAAGCAATGCACTATGGGATGCTGCTTGGCTGTCCAGCTCCTTATCACACTTCAGAGGGAGGACAAATGTAGCTTGAAGCACTTCAGAGTTATCCATGTTTCAGCCAGGGTGGCTTCTTTTTTTTGTTAATGCTCTCTGGGCCAGTTGTACTAGGTTGTCTGTCATCTGCCTGCTCACTCTTAAAGTGGTTTTAAACCAGGGTGGATTTGATTTAAATCCAAATGATTTAAACAATGATTTCAATCACTGGTCAGGAAGCCTCAATTTAATCATTGTTTTCTACAAAAAAGTGCATTCTTGTTTGACATAACCTTAATACATATTATTCACAACTCAGAGAGAGATGTAGTTTTCATTTTTAGAAGGTACAGCCTATATATTTTAAGCAGTTATTTATTTTGATATCTTTTCAGATTAATTTTGCAGCTACATTAAAAAACTGAATTATGACACTTAAATTGTTTTATTTAAGTAAAACAACAAATGTATGTATTTTGGATATTTTTCTTCCACAACAAATGTGTGTGTCACAATCATAGAAATTAAGGGCCAAAAGGGGCCTCAAAAGATCATTACGTCCACCCCCACACCTGCTCTGGACAGGAATACTGCTGAGATCAAATGATCCCAGCAAGCTGTTTGTCCAGTCTCAAGGTGGGGGACTGCACCACCTCCTTGGGAAGTCCACTCCAGATTCTGGTCACCATTACCGTAAAAAAAATTCTTCCTTGAATCCAACCTGAAACCATCCTCTAACAGTTTATGGCCATTGCTCCTTGTCCTCCCCTGGGGACCCTGGTAAAAAGTTTTTCTCCCAGCCCCTGATATTCACCCCGTACATACTTATAGATGGCCCCCGAGTCCCCCATCAGTCTTCTCTTCCCCAGGCTGAACAGTCCCAGATCCCTTAGTCTTTCTTCATAAGGTTTGTCCTCCACGTGCTTAATCTTGTGGGCCTTCTCTGGACCCTTTCAAGATTCTCCACATCTTTTGAAGTGCAGTGCCCAGAACTGGACACAGTACTCCAGCTGGGGTCTCACCAGCACCAAGTAGAGAGGAGCCCTGCTCACAACACATCAGCTAATGCATCCCAGTATGCTATTCGCACTGACTACAGCGTTGCATTGGTGGCTCATGTTCATCCTGTGATCAACCATAACCCCAAGGTCTGTTTCAGCCATCGTTCTAGCCAGGACATCTCCTAACTTATATTCAAGTAGTTGGCTACTTCTCCCCAGATGAAGCATTCTGCATTTATCCTTACTAAACTGCATCCAGTTCCACTCTGCCCACCTTTCCAGCTTGTCCAGGTCCACTTGGATCCACATCCTATCCCCTAGTGTGACTGCTTTTCCCCATAACTTAATATTGTCCACAGACTTGGCCATCATGCTTTCCACATGCTCATCTAAATCGTTGATAAAGATGTTGAACAGCATGGGGCCAAGAACCAAACCCTGCAGGACACCACTGGCTACCTCCCACCAATACAATATAGACCCATCCACTTACTCTCTCTGGGTTTGACCCCTTAAAACCTAAAATACTGGGTTATGCAGCAAACTTAGCCTTTGCCTTCTTACAGTTTCATAGTAGCTAGGGTTAGGAGGGACC